CCCCTAATCTTGAATCAACTTAAGTCTAGTCTAAAAATGTAGAAGCTGATTTCATTAAGTATATTTAATATTTAGTAATATTTAGTATTTTAATTGTTTTATGTGACCTGAATTGATAATGCCCTATGATAATGACCAGGGTGTACCCCGCCCCTTGCACAGTGACTGCTGGACATGGGCATCAGTTGACCCCTGTGACCCTGAAAGAAGGAAGTGGGTAAAGATAGATGGATGAATGGATGGATAAATAGCTARTTGTTGGTCTTGTAACATTGAACCGTATTTTAAGGAAGAGATTTTATGTTTTATTTTATTGTAATGTTTTTTGTCTGGGTTGTTAAATTTTGTCTTGTGAAACTTTGTGTTTTGTTGTGCGTTTTGACCAGGACACTCTTTTCTTTTTTAATCTCTGTAATTTTCTCCTGGCAAAATTAAGGAAATAATGAATAAACTTACAATGCTACCTCATTACATTTGAGTTATTTTATCAGAAATAWATTTCTGCTGGATGCAACCCTGGCACGCCTCTGCTACTATTGTTGCTATGTACCCCGTTAAAAACCACAGATAAGTAAATAGGTAATGTTTAAAGTTGTAAAGTTTTATAAAATAGCGTTTGCATAAACTGTTCTAAAAGTTTTGAGATTGAAATTTTGTTTTAGATGCTGGCAGTTCATTTTGGTTTTAACTGCTTTGGGCTAGCTGTTTGCTCATCAATATCAACATTTCTCCAAATTGAAACCTTTCAAGAAGTTTTATCCGACAGATGAGATTTTTTTTGTTTGTTTGTTTTTACTTTTACACACAAAAAAATTCAAAATGGTAGAGCTATCAGTTTAACACTTTTCATAACAAGTGTTTTTGTGGGATGTTTCAACGGCTTTTATTCTGCGGTATTAGAAAGCCAGATGACCTGCGAGTCTTTTGCAGAACTCCAAATGAACGACACGTAAGATTGGTTTCTGTAGGAGTCTCCTTTGATTTGATCTGCGGCGCAAATCAACGTGGGGCTTAAGGTGTGAGGGGAAAATGTTTCATTGGAGGGAGTTCTTCAAGTTTTAGACCTGACACAGAATTCACACACGCTGCCTCGATGTGGAGCGATGTGTAGATTACACACGTTTGTTTCTTAAATTGCAGTTCTCTATAGGGCGTGTTGTTGCTTCTCCCTGCTCACATTCCCTCCTCAGCTGACAGATGGTCCCGTCCAGCTTTACTCTGACAACAAACACTCCCTGAGAAGTTGCTGACAACCTGTTTCAGGAAGGACTTTAGCTGGCCCTCGGGTGTGTGTGTGTGTGTGTGTGTGTGTGTGTGTGCAATATAGTCTTATTTGCGCACACACAGAAAAACACAGGGAGTCATCATTCAACTTAAAACTCCAACACAAATAATCAAAGGCTCTGACCACATGGCGGTCCTGTTCACAGAGCTCTGACAGATGCCAATCACTCTGCTACCCTGTAAACATTTCTTTGGTGGGCACATTTATTAAATCAAACTATATAAATATAGCCAATTTAATGCTGTTAATCTTTGCTTATTGATTTAAGTCCTTGTTAAATTTAGAACTGGCCTGAAAGACTGGTAAGATCAGATTCCTCTGAGAGTCTGTTTTAAAAAGGTCCAGAGTTGGTGTTTATTTTAAGACCCAATGTTGGACAAGTTGATGGCTATGCATGTTTGGGCGCCCTGCTCTCTTCCTTAGGAACARCCAAAAGGCTTGCAGGAAGGGTTCTTGGTAGCTTCAAACACCGAGAAAATGACCACACGAAAAAGAGCCTGCAAACAAAAATASTGACATGTTCAAATCTGAGAAAAAAACGTCAAAATTTGAGTTAATACTCTTAAGCTGGAATTGTAGTCTGCAAGAAGTGAGGAAATCTGTCTTGTGTAGTTGCAAGATCTTTTTATTTATTTATTTTTTGTGTGTGTGCGTGGATAGTATTTTATTCACAATAAGAAACTGTAGTGCAGAACTTTAAGGAAGATTGAATTTCTTCATCATGGGGTCACCAACATTCCATTCCTGTTCAATGTTTTGACTACTTTACWGCTACTGGACATTTTGATTTACAGACTAAGACAGTAGATGTCATTTGGAATTCATCACAAAGAGATATCCACCTCCTGTCTCTTATTGACTGTTTTTGACAAGGAGCAGTGKATTTCTGCAAATTGTTGTAGGACCGCTGGGAGTACCCAGGGGAGCTTGAGTTTTTTCACAGGTTATCTGTCCCATATTCTACTGTCAGGGCATAATGATAGTTCTAACAAATATGTAAAAAATACAATTTTATAAAAGTTACTAGAGTTGGGCAAAATCATATTGTGTGCAGTTAATTGTCAGAACATTTTTAATCAATAATTTTTTGGCGCTTGACGAAACGATTAATGTCGCTAGACAGACTGACAGGAGATTTTCCCGGTCAGTCCATTCAATGCGCCTCTCCGCTTCAAGTATGACGAACATTTAAAAAAATGTTCTGTAATTTATTTATCACAACTTTGGTTTTACTTGGTCTAGCAACATAATTTAAAAATTGATGTATAGCCTGAAGTCTGTAGTTTTGACAAAATTGAACAGATTTTTTACGGAGAGCAAATCATTCCTAATAGAGGGATTTAAATTGGTCATGTGAATAGGATATGAGGGCGTCCATGGGATTAATCGTCATATTAATCATTATCAGCTTAATAGTACAATTCGAGATTTATTTATTTTTGTTAATATTGCCCAGCTTTAAGGCTCAACACCCCTTGTAGGCAACATTTCCCACATGGTTTCTCTGTGAGACCTTCATTCAAGTACTGTTTGTAACAACTAAACACACCTAATCTTTTGGTTTCTTTCCACCACATTTTAGATGAATAATCAGCATAGATAAAGATAGTGTAACCCTAAAGTGTGGTCAGTTGTGGGCGAAATCTGAATACTTACAGGACTTTCCTGCTCTTTGAGTCAACACTGTTTGTTCAACAATATGAGAATACCATTCGCTCATGCCTCTCCTTACAGATTGCGAAGGAGTGTGTTTGTCTATGGTGGGGCAGGTGACCTCTGCCGTTGGAACAGTGGCCTTTCTGCTCTGCTTGTACTTGGCTGCCGAACCGAGAAGAACAAATCAGACAAACACTTTGACACAGAGCTGATGGAAGCTTGGGTTACTCTGACATGTGAGGATGTGTGCATTGTCTTACTGAAGGTGCTCGCTGCTCTGACCTTCAGATGGGTGTCCAAGTAAAAAAAAATAGAAGTGTTTAAACCCATCCCATTGTTCAAACCTTTGTAACCCAACTCTGTGTTCTAAAAATAACTTGTGAATGTCACACTGGTCACGTTTCTGTTTCCTGACTTCACGCTGAAAGTCCCAAAGTGCTGCTGATAAGAAACCTTGATCTTTTGATCCACTCAGGAGGTATTAAGCCATCAACACTGTGTGACAGACACTCAGTAGCACTTGTTTCTAATGTGTAGTGTTAAGTTACAGCCGTGTTGGTGGAAAATCATCAGAAACGTTCATGCGGCTATGCATTGGCATGATGAAAATGTCAGTTGGACGTGTGAATGTGTTTTCATTTTTAACTGCAGCTGTCACTAATAACACCACATCTCCCTTCATCCAGAGCTGAGGTCCACCGGTACAGCTCATCACTTCGCCTACCTCCTGAACGCATCTGACTACCGTATCCTCCGTATGGACGAGGACCACGATCGCATGTACATCGGCAGCAAAGACCACATCCTGTCCCTAGACCTTCATGACATCAACAAGAGCCCTCATATTGTAAGACAATCATGCTACATCTTGCCTTTCTGTGATCCTATAACTCTAAAACAGGCTGATAATCTTAGATAAACCAGTTATGAATGTTCTGTTATACTGTCTGAGCATGAGTTCTTTGTTAGTTCTTAGGTGGATTTTAATTTTAATTTTAATTTTTTTTTTGGGATCACAGGTTTTTTTGTTTGAGTTCTGCTGTAACTTTTCCATCAGAACTGATATTAGCCTGGGTGGGTATGCCAGGTTGGACTGTAAAAATAAATTGTCCTCTGTTTAGATCCATTGGCCCGTGTCTGAACGAAGAAGAATGGAATGCCTCGTGAGTGGAAAAGATGCCAACGTAAGTGCACATAAAGACTGCGTTTGTATTCTCAACTGAGTCAGTCACCTGGGGTCATTTCCATTCATTCCAAAAATCAATAAAATAAAGAAGTTTTTTAAGTTTTGCCTTAAAAGTTATTCCCTTTTGGTTTAAATGTGGAGAACCTGTTTGAATAAGAGCCACCTGTAGGTTTCAGACCCGGCCCAGTATGAAACTGGTTCCCTCCTGTCTAGACAAGGAGAAATGAAGGAATTGGCGCAGGAAGAAAAGAAAACAGTCTCCCCATCTTCCTGTCTGGCAGCAATGGGTGCCTGGTTGATCATTAGATATATTGCTCAAATAAATATTTAGAAACAAATCCTTTATTTGTCTTATTCACAAAACTACCAGAGTTATACCAATAAAATAAGACTCCGCTGATTTTGGTTAGATTAGGGTTTTTTATTGCAGTTTAGTTTACTACAGTCTTTGTTTTTCCAGGAGGAATGTGCAAACTTCATCCGTCTGATTGAGCCATGGAACCGGACTCATCTGTACATCTGTGGAACTGGGGCTTACAACCCAGTCTGCACCTTTGTCAACCGTGGCCGCAAACCTCAGGTTAGAAAACAAGACCCACAGAGCGCAGAGGCCAAGAAGGTGATCCTCAGCAGATGTAAACGGCTTTCAACACCTGCATCATTTTTGGCACGGCTTGCCTTCCTCACATTTACCCTCCATTCACCTCGCATTAGCTTCGCTTTATGATGGTTTTCCTCCATCATTAAACCTGCTGTTGGTGCCATATGTCCCCGTATTGCAAAGCAAGCAGAACACCAGCCTCACCAACACACAGCTGCTGTCCCCAGTGAGCAGTTAATGCTCCTCTGTTTAGTCTCAAACTTTAATGGGTCCTCTTTAATTCCCCAGAATCAAGCCAGGCTTAATTACTTTTCCACATTTCCCTTTTTAACACCTCAGTCTTCTTTAAATATCACACTTGTTTCCTAATGACGATCGGGGGACTTTAAGAAAAGAGCAGTAAATAAAAAGTTAAAATCCCATTTCGGTTTTCTCTCAGGATCACGGAGAGCTTGCAAAGGCAAACGTGGCTCACATAAAACCCTTGTTACATACAGATCCTCTGCGACCCTCGTTAACGAGGGGCTTCCATCCAGTCGCTCACCTATCCATCCACCCCTTCATACCTTCATCCAGGCCACCCGCCCGACTTCACCATATAAAACGGCTAATTGGATGTGGGAGCTCCCATTATGGGGTGCAAGTGGAATGTTTCAGTTCTAGTGCATTAATGAGAGTAGCTGTTATTTTTCCTAAAACACTAAACAGACAGATTTGAGTCATGCCCCCCCAACCAGATGTCAACAAGAAAACCATTAAAAAATCTGCACAGATTTGAACATAAACCCATTCAAACTTTTCATCTGATTACACCATTAGGATAGGTTCAGAAATGTGTTGGGTCTTGTGGGTTTTATAAACTGTAGTAGTATCTTGTTCTGCTGAGGCAGTAGGTTTCAGAGCTGTGTACAGTATATAACGTACTGTGAGAGCTCTTATTGACTCAACAGCAGGAGAGACGACTATTATTTTTGCCTTTTCCACCATCTGGACAAATATAGTTACACACATTCTCTGCATAATCTTGCAGATGCACGTTGTTGCTTTGATGCTTTTTTTTTTTACCAAAGCACACGCCTTCTGTTTAGTTTGAGGAGCTTCTCAGTTGCCTGAAGATCAGAAGAGGCTCCAACATTTTTTTGTCAGCCGAGTCAGGAAGGGCCTCGATCCTTCCTCATCAGCAGCGTAACACCCAGACTGTATTGCTGTTTCCTGTTTTAGACGTCCATGTATCTGCTGATGGCCCAGGCCAGAGGAAGGGCTAACCGCGCAGCCGAACCCAGCGCGGTGCACGAAACCCTTGGACTGAAGGTGCGATGTGGGCCCCTGTCTGCACCACAGCCTAGAGTTCTGCACCCCAGGCTCGTGGTCACCCATCAGCATGCTCTCATTCTTTGTGTGTCTCGAGCACATGTTGTCCACGCTATCCCTAATAAGGCCACCATTCGTTTATCTCTAACATTTGGCATGCGCCTTTTTTCAGTTCATGCACCATCTCTGAGAATTGTGATTTTTAGGAATGCATTTCATTTTATGTTGTGTCACGTCCATGTTTAATTCATTCACGTTTTCTTTGTGTGAACTTTATCATCAGAGCGCCCTGCCTCGCTCGTCACCCGTTGCTTCATATTTGTGCTAAATGCCATGTTTTGCATGAAAGCTGGGTTAGCGTGCGGCATGGCCTTATCAGGTTGCTAAATAATCACAAGGCCGAAACTTGATGGAGCCGTCTTTTACCACGTTTTAGTGCATGACATTTTGCTTTTAATTGAGCATATCTTTTATTTGAACCCATGAACAATAGAGCTCGTAATTATTCATCTTTTGCTTATCTGAATCAATGCAGCCATCAGTTCTTCACCCCACAGAGCCCTACTCAGCATCTGACCCACTCCCAATGCAGGGTATGTTAGCCCAGAGCAAACACCAGCCATTTGTAGCCAACTAACGGTGCAGTTAAAGAAATAAAAAAGCAACATACTTCAACATGTCTTTACTTGAAAGAGATTAGAAACATGCAGCTTTTCTGTAAGGTCATTTTTTTCTGGAGTGTTTTAAAACATATTTAGGATTAATTTTCCCTCCAGTACGCATAAATGTGTCGTTATTTTTTTACATGTCTATATCTGGCATGGCTTTATGTCTGCTGCCAACACCTTCTTGTTTACTCAAGTGGTGATTTTAATCAAGGATGAGTGTTGAGGATTTGCGAAGGAGCATGTGTATGATACAGTGAGGTGTGTTTGGCAGCGTGCCATCGTTTCTTCCTTGCTTTGGTGCTGACAGACAGTGAAAAAGATGGCTCCGATTCCGTCTCCGCGGGGAGTGAAAAATGATTACCGGACACGCTCCGGTTTGCGAGGCTTGGCTACAGGACTTGTCACCACATGCCACTGCTTCATTTTTTTTTCTTCCCCTCGCTCTCATGCGCAATTCCTGCCAATCAACCCTCCATGCTTGTGCGCCGCGATGCCACGAGCAGTGAGCATCAGTCATCCAGCCTCCATCCTCGGCTTGTTTTCGCTCTGCTGGATTACAGGTGTCAGCAGCCGACCTGCACGCCCATCGGCTCTGAGAAGCTGAAAGATATTTAGCTTTCAGCTTATTATAACAAGAGACATCCACCACACACGACAGGCTCTTTTCTAGGCTGGCATGAAGGTAGATTCTAAATTCTTCGCTTGCATGTATATTTCTGTAAGAACATAGAGTTATTATTCTAATGCTACACCGCCCCATCAGGCCCCAAAGGTTCCACAGGTGTCTGAGGCAGCACATTATGCTCCCAGCTTCTCCCTACACAAGGAAATCACAATGACTGGATGAGGACTGCTGAATTTATTCCCATCTTCATGTGTTTTCTTTTTCCATTTCAGGAAGAAATCTTCCATTTGGAGCCAGGAAAAGTGGAATCTGGGAAGGGAAAGTGCTCCTACGACCCGAAGCTCAACAGTGTGTCTGCTTTGATTAGTGAGTGTTTTATGGGTTCAGTGGTGTCAGGGTGTGGGCACCAGATCCTTACAAAAACACTCCCCCCCGTGCTTCGCCAGACTTTCTCTTGTTTTCAACATTTTATTTAATGCATTTTTTTCCACCCACATGGATGGAATTATTCTAGAGATGACTTTAGTATTTGTGGGCCATCACATCAAACTATGGTTAAATCAAATTTGGTCAAAATGACCAAAGCTTATTTTGAGATTCATGAAAATTTAGGATACATTCTGATATCTGAATCATCCTATTATGAGTGCTTCCCAAGATGTGCCTTGATTTGTTTTGCAAATCAGCACAACTGATTGATATTTGGTCTGAATCCTATTTTTAAGGCATTCCAACGAGGAGCTTTTGATGTCACTTTAAAGAGGAGAGCTCAAACAATATTTGGATATTAAGATTTACCAACTGGAAAGAAAACAAATTGTTTGAACGCAGGGAAAATAACAAAAATCCTTTTCTGCTAAAAATCAGTTTTTTGTAGCTACTGCTAAAAAAACATCTTCAAAAATTTTTTTACCATTATATTTTAGGCATTTTATTAAAGTGGTCCATTAATAAAGTTTTTATTCATTATATTCTGACAAAATGCAATCCTTTTAACCTTTTTAATCAATGCACTATCTGCTTATATCTCCACGTACCACTTTGAGACTTAATCCTCGATTCAGTGTGACAGGTCATCTTTATTGTTTGGAAATAAATCACCTGATATCTTATCAGGAGGTTTATTTAGAGTTATGACTGAAGTTTAATGGGATCCAGGATTAGTTGTAACATTAGACTTTATTTGGTAAACATATATTTTAACTGTAAAACAAAGACTGTAAAAATACTGTAGACTATTTAGTTTTGTAAATTTTTTAAATATATATTTTAACACGGATGGAGCCATTTTATTTACACACAAAGCATTCTGGGTAAATGATGACGTGGATAGGTCCTCCATCCATATTTTCAGTTGCAGACTGAGTCATTTTTGCGTTCCCCTCTCTGTCATGTGGATGGAGGACCTCATTGAGCAGAGGAGAATGGCTGTGTCCAAAACGACAGGCCGGGTCCTCCGGAGGACCC